GAGAGAGAGAGAGAGAGAGAGAGAGAGAGAGAGAGGGGGGGGGGGGAGAGAGCCTAGAGAGATTGCGCGCGCGCTCTCGGCAGTTTCAAACGGCCCGCCCAGTCTCCTTCCCAGGCGACTTCCGCCTCTCTTCATCCGTACTGCGGTGGTGCTGCTGCGCATCGCGTCGCGTCGCGCACATACGTGCATACGTCAGTCGCAGTTTACGGTACATACAAACACACGTACGCGCGATCCTCTCTGACAGAGTTTGAATCTGATATTTTCGAAGTCGCGCGTGCCGCGCCGCAACTCGTAAACTGACGCCGACGGCGATCATCGCGGTGTCGCGCGTCTGTGGTGTGTCTACTTCGTGTAGCGTGCGCGTCTCAAGAGAGACGGTGCCCGTGCGCATTCCGCGACATTCCGCGTGCGGTACGCCGTGTGATTCGCAGCCGCCGCCGCCGTCACAGCAGCAGCAGCAGCAGCTCGCGGCCACTCGACCCTGACTCGTGCGACTTATGCCTAGGTGACCCCACGCTTACGACTTTCTCCAACCTAGTTCCGAACGCGGACATTGAGCGAGTGCCAGACGGAAGTAAAGCTGTCGTCTCTTTTTCTCTTTGTCATCGTCATCGTCGGCGTCGACGTCGTGGACATCGCAGCAAGCGTCGCCGTCGTCGGCGACGTTGTGATCAGAAGCCATCACAGGTAGAGGGACTGCGATTGTTAGGTTAACCTGTGCGACGCCACGACGCCGTGTAACGTTTGATCGCGCTTTCGTCGGGTGGGGGCACTAATTAGGGAACGTGGATGGGGAGATGACGAGCGTACACACATCGTTACCGTTATTCAGCGGACTGCCGGTGCATGCGTGTTTCGTGTTGGCTTCTGGGGTACACCTCGGAAAATTCGCGTACAATCTTTTTCTCTGTGACGATCCGAGTGTCTCGAATGTGTCGTGCGACCGTGCAAAGGTGAACAGAGAACAGTACTGGATATGATCTGTGTTATTTCGCCTTTGCAGTTCACACCTCTGATACAAAATGGGTAGCAGCAACCAGCAACTATATAGCCTCTCTTGGGGAGAGTTCAGTTCCTCTTTGGTTTCATCGGTGCAACTCTTGAGAGGACACGGTGATTTGGTGGATGTTACTCTGGCTGCTGGTGGCCGTACCTTTCCTGCGCACAAAATTGTCCTCTGCGCAGCCAGTCCTTTTCTGTTGGACCTGCTAAAGGTTGTGCCCTTTGTTTGTTGTTAGCATTAACAAGACCATGTCACTAGAACATATGAACTTGATTACAACTAGATGTTTTATCCACAGAGCACACCATGCCAGCATCCAGTAGTTATGCTGGCTGGAATTGGGGCAGAAGACTTAGAGTCGCTTTTAGAATTTGTATACCGAGGAGAAGTGAGCGTGGAACCGTCACAGTTGCCTTCACTACTCCAAGCTGCTCATTGTCTGAGCATCCATGGACTAACACCACCGACCATTCTAACAGAGGTATATTTCTATTATAATTTCTACTATCTGAAGGTCTGTTCTTCTCAGCTGAACTCAGCTTGCACTTTTTATTTTTGAAGTAAAATAAGTATACAACTTAGCGTTGAAGAGAAAAAAGGAACAATGTTCCAGCAGCACTGATTCAGCTAAAAAGGACAAACCTTAATGATGCATGAGGAGATAGAAACTAAATGGTCATCTATGATACAATGTTGACGTGATGTCTGATACACGTTTGGTCACGTCGACTATGTTGTATCATTTTCGACTGCTCTGTTATTCACACGTCGATTTTGCATAATCTAAGAATTGCATGTATATATCCAGAATGGGGAAGAGATCCCGCCGTCGGCAATACCGACGGTGAACGATAACGTATCGAAAGCAACGCTTAACTCGTACTACCCGCTGAAACGGAGGAAAAAGAGGAGGAAGTCGTCCACATCCTCCGCAAAGTGGGCCTGCACCAGCAACACGACTGACAGCGAGAGCAGGCCCGTGGACGGACACGACAACAACCGAACAATGCCTTACGAGAATAAGGATGATGATACTACGGATCAAACTGACGATACAGGTAAAGCAAACAGTACGTGAATATTTTGTGAAATTTGTATTCCAAGGGAGGGATGTGCAAAGTGGAACGTTGGAATACTTTACCACGAGACACTAGCGTCGCGGATATTTATTTGCTTTTCTGAACAATATGATTTGTCCGACGAGTTTTCTTGATTCTTTTTTCGCTTGGTTACTTTTCTATCTACTGCAATTTCTTGGTTGTTTTTTCAACTAACAAGAAAATTATAATTAAGGTAAACACGTAAGATATAACTAAGATGTAACGGCGATTCTACTTGTGTTTTGTGTCCGATGCATATTACGTTTTGCCGTCGTAAAATGATGCCAGACCCTGTCTACGGTAAAGAGAGAGGGAGAGAGAGAGAGTGAGTGAGAAAGGACGAGAGAGGGGGAGAGAGAGAGAGGGAGAGAGAGGGAATGTGAGGGTGAGAGCGCGAGAGATAGAGAGGAAGAGCGGAAGAGAGAGAGAAAGAGAGCGACAGAGAGAGAGGGAGAGAGAGAAAGAGAGAGTGGGAGAGAGAAAGAGAGGGAGAGAAAGAGAGAGGGAGAGAGAGAAAGAGAGAGGGAGAGAAAGAGAGAGAGAGAGGGAGAGAAAGAGAGAGAGAGAGGGGCAGAGAAAGAGAGAGAACGAAAGAGAGAAAGAGAGAGAGAACGAAAGAGGAAGAAAGAGAGAGAGAACGAGAGCAAGAGAGCGAGAGACTTCCGCACCGGCCGCGTAGGCCGTTTTTTTTTCTCGTTTCAATTAAACGGACACAAGCACAACCATCGATCGGGTTGAACTGCAATTCTGATTGGTCGTCCGATTCGTCTGACTGAGCGAGCGAGAGAAAGATGGAGAGAAAGAGCGTGAGCGGGAGCGGGAGAGAAAACAAATTCAAAGCCGTGCCAAACGTTAACGTGTCAGTTCAGCCCCGCATGGTAACATTGTGTTTGTGTCTGTTAACAGCGGGCAACTGCCTGGAGTACGCGAACAACCATCAAGGCGGCAACCACTCACCGCGTATGCAAGAGTCCTCCGTCATGGATAATCATCAGGCGATGAGCGCGTATCAGGATCAAGCGTCGGATGGCGAGTCGCATATGCAAACGATGATGCCGATGCAGGGGTTCTCGCCATTGCATATACCACAATTCTCCGGTTCTATGAACATGGGCTATTCCTCCGGTGCCGGGCTGTCGCTCGCAGCTAGCCAGTCAGCCGGCGCGCCGACGTGTCTGTTAACTCGGAATCAGAAAGCGCGCGGTTCCTCCGACTCTCCAGGTGTGTGTCCGTTGTGCGGTGCGACGCTGCGTCAAGCGAGGAATCTACGTAGGCACCTACTGTCATCGTGCAAGTACCGCTTCAGCAACAACTCGGCGCAGAATATCGGCAACGATCCACCAATGATGATAGGCGTGAAGACTGAGGTCGAAATTCCCGGCTACAACGATCAGACTACTCGCGGGAGCGCCGACAGTGGTGGCAGCAATAACAGCTGCGAACAGATAGTCTGCAAGCCTAGCTTACTTTCGCCGACGACGCAGAGTATGCATGACTCGGTGTCGCCGCAAAGGAGCATCCCGTCGCCAACGATGGCAAGATAAATTGTACAGGTGGAGGACTCCTTATCAGGAGCGTGTTCGGGTATGATGATAAGCATACGTGTGAGCGCGTCGTCGCTCATTCTCATTTCTTTAAGGAAAAAAGGATTTCTCGTAGCCAATTCCGTAACGGATTCCGTTTCGGTTGTCAACGACGATCGCGTTTATCAGTGGACCCCGGACTCGGCGTCGCGAATACCCGACCGCGTGTACTTACGTGAGAGTTTATTGTGTGTGCTTCCGTTGTTCGCTCCAGTCTAAGCGAGTGGGGAAAATGGACATAAGAATGGTGGAATATCATCGACGAAATCATCTCGCTTGTATAGTACAATTGTACAGTGCCGCCCGGTGCGAAGAAGGAATCGAGATGGTGGTGAAAATATCCAAACTCTGCGAGCAGCAAAATTCGCGTCCTATGAAAATTATTTTAATCGGGATCCGTCCCAAAATTTAACTAAGTAACATCTAGAATTCCTTCTTTTTGCGATTAATCTCTTCAGGAATACTAACATATACATATGTTTAGGTAGATTCAATTTTTCTATCTCAATTCGAACAAGTTGTCGACAAAATATAATGATATTATAAATTAATATTATATAATAATTATATTTTGTGAATAAACACTCATTATAATTTCACTAGAAAGAGATATTTTGCTACTAGATGTTATATTTATGTCACTTTAAAATTGAATCATTTCTCCCGATATGAAAAAATTCATTCCTAAAGAGATTAATTCTGTGGCACTACTTTATTGTGCTAACGTGGAAAATTCATTTATGTTGAACGTGACAAGTTTACACGGATGTCTTATCTTGATTGCATTGCACAAATGAGACGTCCGTCGATGATCGAAGGACCATCTTCAGGTTCATTTTCTCCGACTCTTTCTATGGAGCGAACAACGGAAGCACACAGAGTGAACTGCCACGTACCTACATCCAGATTCGGCGTACGCGGTTCCCCTGACGTGTACTTACGTGAGAGTTCATTGTGTGCTTCCGTTGTGCATTCTACGAGCAACAATTACAGAAAGTGGACACGAGGACGATGAAGGACCATCGACGTCTCATTTGTATACTTGTTTCGTTTAGTTGCACCGAGCGATCGCACTTGTTATTTAACACGTTTCCTACCAGCGTCGCACATGTGCATCGATCTCTCACTTCATTTTTATTCTGATTTTTCAACTTAACACGTTTGCTACCAACGTTGTATGTGTAGGATAACTATAGCTTTTCTTTATATTTACATCTACATACAAACAAACCAAGTGTTTTACATGAAAACTAATGTGGCCTGTGATGAGAATTCCTAAAAAAGACTATGGTAGCGAACGTGTTGACAGTAAATTAATTCGAGATTCCTCGCGAAGACCTATGTTCAACATAAACGAATCTTCTATATTAATGTGTAAGCCAGAAGCGTAGAATTAATCGCGGCGCAACTTTGAGGACAGAGTACCAGTGAGAAAGAGAAGTGCGCGACATGCTCGATATTCTTTTATCTTCTAGACTGTTAGACGAATCTCAGTGTGGACAATTAGCATGCGCGCTCTTCGAATTTCGCCCCTCGCAGGTTGACCTCGATTCTTCCGCATCGGGATGGTCTAATGTATAGTAGCGGTGTAAATTCTAAATACACTGTCTATCTATCGAGCGCGAACAGTTTTTTAACGAAAAAAAACCAAGACAGCCACGAAGCAAAACGATAATCGGCGCACATTCCTATTTTGTAAGGACGGACTCTGCGTATATCGTGGGCTGTTGACAATAGTGCATATACAAAGCGATTAGGGCTTCATCGAGGAGGAAATAGGATTAAAACAATATAATAATGTATCGTCCATCTCTTATTTCTTTCCGTTTCTCTTCTTTCTTTCTTTCTTGCTTGCCTGCTTTCTTTTTGCAAATAAATCATGTAATAACTTTCAGACGCGTTCCACGACGGAAACACTCGCGATTGTACACCTCGCTTGCCCCACTTCCCGTTCCTCAAACGATCATGGAATTGAGCAGTATGAGTGCGCACGATATATACAGAATACGACTGTGTGTTTGCGAAGAGTGGCGAGGAGACGTTCTCAAGATTGGCGATGGAGTTCTGGCAAGTCTGTCTCTATCTGGCCATGACGGAATTCGTTCTAGGGGATGGATCGAAGGCGCGCAGTCTGTCCGATCAGCCGGCCTCATGTCCCTTGTGCGGCGCGATCCTGCGCCAGTCGAGAAATCTCAGACGGCACTTAGAGCTGCTGCACTTCGGTCTGGGCAACAGCAACAAGCCCAATGTTCACCGGCCGCCGAGGCGACCGGACCGCGCCAACGATTTCGCCCTGTCGTCGGCGTTAGCGTGCGCCCGACCCACCGCCAGGATAGACTCGCACCTCGCGAGGTCCTCCGAGGCCTCGGACTTTTCCATGGTGACGCCCTTGTCGATCGGCTCGTCTGTCAGTTCCGCATCGAGCGTCAGCCTTCCAGGTGAAACGCGAAGTTTGTGATGTTTTACACGAAAAGTTTCGCTCGAGAAGTTTTACTTTAAAAGTTTTACTCGGGAAGTTTTGTTCGGAAAGTTTTACTCGAATAGTTTTACTTGAAAAGTTTTACTCGGAGTTTTACTTGAGAAAAGACTTATTGGTAAAGCTCCAATCGAAAAGTTTTATTCCAAGTTGCACTTGAGAAATTTTGCTTGAAAAATTTTACTCGAAAAGTTACATTTGAAAAGTTTTATTTGAAAAAAGATTTACACGGAATATTTTACTAGGAACAAATTTTTTTTGAAAAAAAGCATTATTCAAAAAGTTTTGCTCGAAAAATGTTAACAAATTTTATTCGAAAAGTTTTAATTAAAAAAAGTTTTATTCGGAAAATTTTATTTGAAAAAAAGTTTTATTCGAAAAGTTTCACTTGAAAAGTCTCACACAAGGCAAGATGCGCTTCCATGGCTTTGTTATTGTTGCAAAATACCATTTCTAAATTTTTATTTGAACTTTTGTTGAAAATAATAGAGTCCGTGGTCTTTTGCTGAAAATAATAAAGCGATGATTTCGCTGAAACGCGGCTACACATGGAAAAACATCGCGGTACGCGCGTGAAATAATCGCACCGGCCAATGAGCCGAACTCGTCGCAAATTGTCGATACACCCCTGCGAAACGCTAAACAACATAGCGACGTTGAAATTTTAATATCGCGTTTTACGCGTTACATGATGCGCACGATATTGTCAAAGGATTAGCGGGCCGCGCCGAATGCGTTATCGCTTTAAAGCGATTACGTCGCGAGCACATTCGCGTGAATTACAAGCCTTGTGCGTTAACGCGGGTATAAATTTTGCATCGCGCCGATTATCAGTGTTTTGCGACGCGACGCCAAAATCTACGCGCGGAATTTGGAACTGTCGAACTGTTGTCGCGCGTTATAACGATCGACAATTTGGGATTAAATCCCCCATCGCGGCCGCATATCCTTTAAAATTTCACGCGCGTGTCTAGAGACACAAATCGCATCAAAATTCGATTCTTACTCGCTTTTATTTCTAAAAGAAGACAAAATATCCTCGTCGCTTGTTGGTTTCCAAAGTATCGTAGCGGCAACGCTAACGCGCGGACAAAATATTTTATACTATTATTAATATAATAACACTGACAAGCGTGCATTCCGTGTCAAGTATATGTGGACATCCATTCCCAATTGACACCGACGCAACAGTACCGATAAATATCTCATAAGAGCAACTACGTTTACATGGCTTAACATCAGCGTCATATGTAACAGCAAAAATCTTTTTTCTATGTCCACATTATCATACGACATGTAATATTAACGACTTATACGACTCTTATGCGACTTTTACTGTTTGAAGTAAAACTTTTTTATATATGCCACAGTTGGTAATTGGTAAAAAATATGAAACTCTCGCCACACTCTACCATAGTGGCTTATGAAGGTTGATAGTTGCAACATCAAGTATAGTCAAATCGACGTTACGTTGGTCATGTAAACGTAGACTATGGTATCTGTAAATGTTACTAAATCGGTTTTAAAGTAAAACTGCCGTGCAAGAGCATAATTAGAGACATGTGCGCGATATAGTTCTCTTCCTTCTCGAAGAATTTCATTTCTGAAATTAGCTGGCAGCTCTGACTGCTTCCTAACTTGTTTCGCGCGAGATCTCTGTCGCCAGCCCGGCGCGTTGGAACGTGCGTGAATAAAAAAAATCACAAACAGTACTCCAAATATCTTGTTTGTTACATCAGCAAGTCCTTTTATATTTTGATGTCTTCCATATCCGTAGGAAACCTGATGGCCCCGAGCTCAAGTCTGCTGAGCTCCGCCGATCAGAACGGGCATATCCTACCGGGATCGGCCTCAACGACGTGCGGCACGTCCATGGTACCTCCCAGCAACGGGATCTACTCCTCGGACGGCGGCGCGAGCATGCTAAGCTGCCTCTTACCGTCATTGCCCACCTTGCCGTCCTTCTCCGCGTCGCACGATGTGTTCCGGCACGGGGAGATGCTGCGCGCCGGGATCGCCTATCACGACTCCTCGAGGCAGCATGTCCGGCACATGCAACGCACCGACGTCACTTAATTGCGCGACGCGTCCACGTGGACGAAGACGACGACGGTTCGTTTGAGCGTCGTGATTCTCGGCTTGTTTTTTTACATATAGCGGTGCCTCGCGAGAGAAAGCGCGACGCGTTTGTAAGCTTTTGCGTTCTATGCGGGAGAATCGAGGGGCGACAGTATTTAGTCGAGCATTGGGTAGATCGTATGAAATGCGTTTAGAGTATTTTGCGGATTAACTTACGTTGTTAGCTTGAGAGACGGAGAAAAAGAGAGAACGCGCAAGAGAGAGAGAGAGAGAGGGGAGAAGAGAGACAGAGAGAATGAGTGACTTGGCGCGATATACTTGATAGTTCACGGACTTGTACATTAAGATTGCGGCGAGAACAATGTGAGAGAGGGGAGAGAGAGAGAAAGAGAGAGCGAACGAGCGTAAAAGCGACGAATGTAGACACGAATGTATCGTATTAGGAATTTTTTACTCGGTGCTGTGTGTACATGAATTCAAATATATGCGACGTATAAATAATAAATTCTTTAGTAATAAAATATGCTATCAGCCAATATCTTTATTCACAGTGACGTGACTCGGTCGACGCGGCTTCTTCTCTCGGACGGATGCGCGGATTTCTATCTTGCCCGAGTTTCTCGCAAACTTACGCGCGGAGGAAATGTCGCGCGCGCGCGCGATACCGATTTATTGGAAGCGCACCGCGAAAGTTTCAATATGTATTAGATTAGAGCGGTGCTCGATAAAGTATCGCGTATTATTAAATCGTACGTTTCGATTTCCTAGCGAGCAATGTCGGAGTCGAGAAATCGTTTCGTTCAGCTCACTACTTCGGGACACTCACCGGTCGAGCTTTTGTGCTAATTGTTCAGTTACTTACGTGTCACTTCGGCGGACTTCTTTATTGGACTCTTCTCTTCTCGGAGGAGAGAGATTTCAGTCATCGGGCCGAAGAAGAGAGAAAGAGAAAACCTTTTCGAACAAATCGGGGAGACGAAACCGCAAATGCCGTCGCGTCCTGTCACTCGCGCACCTCTTTGTATCCTTCGCATCTATCGACTATTCACGAGATTCGTCCTGCCACTCTGCGCTCCTGGCCCGCGAAGGAGATCCTCGTGTCCTCCGCATCGACTATTCACGAGATCCGGCGACGATTCATTCGTTCGTTCATCCTCGCGCTCATGATCAAACGATCAAATTGACTTGTTCGCGCGGCTCGCTGTTTCCCAGAACGAACGGCCAACTTCTCCTGGACATCTTGGCGAGTTCGCCCTGTATGAGCGTTAACAAATCATCGAGACATCGCAGCTCGCGAATCTGACCCCGCAGCTTCGCCGTGTCGTCCGACACGTCGCTGATTCTACTCTCGTCGTGCTGTCAATGTGAAATTCATGAAAAGAGGAGATTAAGAGCGCGTGGCGACGCGGTGGTCTCAACAATAGATATCAAATAGCACGGCCGGGATGATGATCTAATCTAATCCTCATTTATATCTCAGCGAACTACACTTCGGTGGAATTTGAACTCGATATTTAATTAAAAACGGTAGTTCTGGAGTCGCGTCGAGAGACGACTCAAAAAATTCCCGTCGCGGAGAACAATTTCGAGGATCACTACAGGAACTTTGCATTTTGTAGACGCGTTAATCGAGAATAAGTTATCGCGACTATTCTGTCGTGTTTTCGTGAGCGTTCATCTATTTTATTCATTTACTCGTATTTATACTCGACTTCAGTAAAACTTTTAGAGCGAATGTTTCTATGACGGTGGAGTACATCAGATTCATTCTTCAATTTTTAGCGAAAATATTCATTTGGTGTTTCGGAATGAACAATTCACTCTGCACAATGTGAAAATTTCTCAAATAATATGATTGACTCGAGTTCACTCTCTATTTTTGAAGTTTCACTGTAAGTGAGGCGAGAGGTACTTACTTGAAAGTCCCCGTGTAAACCGCGTATGTCACCGCGGATCTCTTTGTGGCCGTGCTGCAGCCGTTCTATCTTATCGCGTAGCTGGCGCACCCAATTATTCGGATCATCGGGGATCGCTGGTACTTCCTCCGCGTCCGTTTCTATAGCCAGAGCTAGCCTGACTAATTGGTTGTGAGAGGACCTGCAGTCGCAGAATCGATCCTCCTCCTCCAACAGAACCGTCGCCTTTTCGGGATCGTTCTGAAGACTCTCGAGAATAGACGCCACTTCGTTGATGGCGGTGCCTCGGTTCTGCACAAACGCGGTTAATTTATTCCGCTTGAATGTGCCGCGGTAATTTGGATTATCAGCTCGGAGCCCAGCAATTCCGCGCGCGGCTCCCAAGCTGGCCGTCAAGGAAATGCTCTATAGATAGATACTACTCCGTACACGTCGTACACGCTTAGTTATAATCCAGTTTGACGTCCTGAATCGAGATTTTACCCGGTAACACAATACCTAAGGCGCACACCCACACGTGTAATTACAAGATACACGTGGTGTTCGTCGCGAAGGGCAACACCCTATATCCCGAGCATCTCTATTCGCCCCGATACGAACTTCTAACCGAGAGAAAGATAGGAGAGGGAGGGGGGGAGAGAGAGAGAGAGAGAGAGAGAGAGAGAGAGAGAGAGGGCTCCGACTAGAAACTCGTCTCATGGTCTTGGTGAGGTTGATTCTAATCAGTTACCTGGTTTGCATAAGGTGATGTTACGCAGCGTGACAATCAGGACTTTATTAATGACTAAGCTTATTAGTAATAACAATAAGAATTATTAATAACTAGGTAACACATCACCTTATACAAATCAAATAATTGATTAGGACCTACCTATTAGATAGGATCAGAAGATCGATTTTTAGTCAGGACAATCGGATAAACGGACTCTCATAGTCCGTTTTATATTTCATCTAAACTTAATCCAAGCTTAATTTGCCAATTAGGCTCAGTTCCTAATGATATCCCGTATTTTCTTTTTAACAAAATAAAAAAAATTATATTAAAGATCATCTTAAGTTCATCTGAGGATGATGAGCAGCAATGAAACATCCCCCACATTCGTCTGAAGACGAATTTGAATGTTAGATCTTAAATATAAGCGAACGAATACCGTTCAAAGGTCGCGCTTACGTTTGCATAATCGTCCACAAGGTCCTTCGATGCGATCGCCAACTCGTCGCAGAGACTCATCGGTGTGTCGCTCTGCTTGTCCGAACTGCAGTCGTTGCTTTGTATGCCAGAAGTGTCCTCCAAGGAATACAGATGTGCATCCGGCTCGTGGCAGTCGTCCCAGATGGAATTCAGCTTGTCGTAGCTCGACCTGCTGCTGCTGACCGTCTCTGTACTTTGCTCACGGCGCTCTTGATCGGCCGTGAGATTCTCGCTCGGTCTCGTCTCCGTGGCGAAACCATTGTCAGTATGACGTGAATTCGCGATGACGGGCGAGGAAGTCGCGTACATCCTCGTACGTGTGCACGGTGGCTTCAGAGTCGTCCTTGGCTGCGTCCCATCTGCGCGAATTCACGCGGTTTGTGGTGATCTTTTCACAATTTTCTCATAAAATTTCGGAGATTTCTCTTCGCGATTATTTCGCAAATTTTAATAAAAAGCATTCGGGATCATAACGAGAATTGGGACGAAGTGAAATACTAATTTTCGGGGAGTAGTAGTCACTAGATATTTTTGCGCGATTAAATTATATAGGCGAAAAGACTATAATAGCAGATTTTATAAAAAATTCCCCAATTATCCCGATGCATTCTGCGAAAACTTTCACTCGACGACGCAAAGTGAAAAATTCACCCTTGAATTCGAGCGACCGGCTGTCACACTCTGCTTCCCAAGAAACTTCGCTCCAAGAAATTGAGCAAAGTAGAACCCACGCCGAGCGTTCAAGATGCGCGGGGAGAAAATCTTTGACGCTATCTTCAACCCTCTTGGCGTTTCCACGAAATTCCTGTTAAACAACGATCGCGCAACGCGACGTGGGGAGACATTGGGGTGAGCAGCCGATGGAGCAGCCTCGAATTCGGATCATCGCTTAAATCTCCAAGCGACGAGCTTCCATTAGCTTTTCCTCCGGCTGCCTCGGCGAAGCCAATCGAGCTTCGCTCGGATCGAAGCCCGGCCGTTAACGGAGGCCACAGCAACAATACTCGTGGCAGTTTCGCACTCTCACGCTACTCGGCATCTTTCGCGGCCGCACAAAGCCCCCCCCCCCCCCCCCGGGGGG